ATCTGCAGTGTGATTGCCAGGAAACGCCCGAGGAGTTTTGTGCCTGAGTTGAAAGTGAAACCGTTCTCTGTTTATCTGATTTCTTCTTCTTCCAGTACAGGCACCAAGTAGGTGGATGGATGGGTTCAACCAGGGCTTGAGTCTCGCAGAAGAGGTGGTTTTAGGAATGTCCATGCATTCTAGATACTCCTCCTTTCAAGACATGGAGCCTACTTCCCCTCCCCGTGAATGTAAACTGGACTTAGTGACTCACTTCTAAAGAATAGGATCAATGAAAGTGATGGGGAGAGGTTTAGGAGACCTGGCACAAACACATTTTGGCTTCCTGCCTGCACTGTCTCTTGGATCTCTTGCTCTGGGGGAAGACAGCTGCTGTGTCATGAGACACTCAGCAGCCCTGTGGACAGGTCATGGCAAGGAATTGAGGCCTCCCAACCAACAGCCTGTAAGTGAGCCTCCTGGGAAGGTGATCCTCCAGCCCCACACAAGTCCTCAGAAGATGGTAGCCCTGGCCAACATCTTGACTGCAAACCTCATGAGAGACTGTGAGGTAGAACCTCCAAGTTAATGCTCCCAAATTCTTGATCTACAGAAACTGTGAGATAAGAGGGGCTGGGGACAGCAACTCATGCCTGTAATCCCAGCACTTTGGGAGGCTGAGGTGGGTGGATCACCTGAGGTCAGGAGTTCGAGACCAGCCTGGCCAAGATGGTGAAACCCCATTTTTACTAAAAATATAAAAATTAGCCAGGCATAGTGGTGGGCACCTCTAATCCCAATTACTCAGGAGGCTGAGGCAGGAGAATCACTTGAACGTGGGAAGCAGAGGTTACAGTGAGCTGAGATTGTGTGATTGCACTCCAGCCTGGGTGACAAGAGTGAAACTTTGTTCCCCCCCCCAAAAAAAAAGAAAAGAAAAGAAACTGTGAGATGATAACTTTTTTTTTTTTTTTTTTTTTTTTTAAGATGGGGTTTTACCATGTTGGCCAGGCTGGTCTTGAACTCCTGACCTCTGGTGATCCACCCACCTCGGCATCCCAAAGTGCTAGGATTATAGACGTGAGCCCCCGCGCCCGGCTGAGATAATAACTTAATAAATTGTTTTCTTCATTTAAACCACAAAGTATGGGGTGATTTTTATTTATTTAGTGCAAAGCTGACACATTCCAGGTAAGACTCCCAAACTCTAGCTGCTGTCTCAACAACTGGCCCCAAAGACTTTCTGCCCAGTCGCTGCCTCTCCTGGTGCTCCTTGCCACAAGTCCCTACTACATGGCGTGATATGGACTTGTGGGGTCTGGTTCACTGCACATAGCAAGATGTACTCTCTGCAATCATTGAGATTGTTCAGTTTTCTCCTCTAGTCTGTTAAGGGGTAAATCAGATTAATCAATTTTCTCATCTCTAATCTTGTATTTTTAGAACAAATCCAGCTTGGGCACAGTTCCCTTCATGTACATTACCAGATTCATTTTGCTAATAATTTGCATAGGATTTTTTCCATCTGTGTTTGAGCCTACTTTCTCATGCAGTCTCCATAGGTTTTCATATCAAGTACAGTACCCTTATGACATGTGGAGGAGAGGTCCCTCTGTTTTTCAATACTCTGGAAGAATTTATACAAGATAGAGTGATTTGTGTTCTCATCGTTTGGTTAATCTTTCTGGTGGAACCATATAGACCTTGAGTTTTCTTTGTGGTACAACTTTGTCTACTTAATCAATTGATTATATATGTATGTGCTGTGGAAGCGAGCACTACTTATTCAACTTATTTAATGTTATAGGACTAATCAGGATTTCTATTTCTCTTTGTTTTAGTTTTGGTATATTATATTTTTCTATAAGGTCTTGTTCATTTTTATATACATCTAAATATAAAAGGAGTCTTCAAAAAGGTCATGGAAAATGCATCTTATGAAAAAACAATGCATGAATTTCAAAATTTTTTGTTATCCAAAGAATAAGTTGTTATAACATGTCTGGGGCCAGGTGTGGTGACTCGCACCTGTAATCACCCAGCACTTTGAGAGACCAAGGTGGAATCATCACTTAATCCCAGGAGTTCAAGATCAGCCTAGGTAACAAAGTGAGATCCTGTCTCTATTACAAATTAATTTTTTAAAAAATGTCTGGGTTGGGTACAGTGGCTTATGCCTGTAATCCCAGCACTTTGGGAGACCAAGGTGGGTGGATCACCTGAAGTCAGGAGTTTGAGACTACTGGCCAACATGGTGAAACCCTGTCTCTACTAAAAATACAAAAATTAGCTGGGAGTGCTGGCTCACGCCTGTAGTCCCAGCTACTCAGGAGGTTGAGGTAGGAGAATCGCTTGAATCTGGAAGGTGAAGATTACAGTGAGCTGAGATCCTGCTACTGCACTCCACCCTGAGCAGCAGAGTGAGACTCTGTCTCAAAAAAACAATTTTTTAAAATGTCTGAACAGGATTTAGTTTGCACCACTAAGAAGGATAAGACCTCAGTTTTAAAATAGTCCCTATCAAACGAACATAAAATCTGCTGAAATTGAAGCACAAACAAACATCAAATTTGTGGTGAAGCATGGATGGAAGGATGAAGAGATCACTAATCCTTTATGAAAAGTTTATGGAGACAATGCTCCAAAGAAATAATCAATTTACAAATAGATAACTTGTTTTAAGAAGGAATAAGGTGATGTTGAAGATGAAGCCTGCAGCAGCAGGTTAATCACAACAATTAGTGAGGAAATAATCTTATTGGTGCCCCAACTGAAGAGGACCGATGATTAACAGCAGAAATGATAGCCAACACTAAGCCATCTTAATTAGTTCAGCGTATAGAAATTCTGACTGAAAATTTCAGTGAAGCAAAAGTTCCACTCACTGGATGCCAAAACGATTGCATCCAAATCAGCTGCAGACAAGTGCAGAGCTTTCAGTGGAATTTTTAAACAAGTGGGATCAAGATCTTGCATCATTTCTTTGAAGAACCGTAATAAATGAAACATGGCTTTAGCAGTACGATCCAAAGACAAGGCACAATCAAAGCGATAGCTACTAAGAGGTGGAAGTGGTCCAGTCAAATGAAAAGCAGACCAGTCAAGAGCAAAGGTGATAGCATCAGTTTATGGGGATGCTCAAAACATTCTGTTTGTTGACTTTCTGGGCAGCCAAAGAATGATAACATCTGCTTATTTTGAGAGTGTTTGGTTTAGCACCAAGGATCAGAATAAAAAAAGAGAAAAAAATCTTCTTTTTTTTTTAAAAAAAGCAAGAGTGTTTGGAGTAGCCAAAGCTTTTGCAGAAAAACACCCAGGAAAGCTTCACCAGAGTCCTTTTCCACAGTGACAAAGCCCCTGATCATTCCTCTCACCAAATAAGGGTAATTTTGTGAGAGTTTCAATAGGAAATCATTAGGCATCTGCCTTATAGTCCTCATCTGGCTTCTTCTGGCTTAATTTTGTTTCTTAATTTTTTTTTTTTTGAGACAAAGTTTTCCTCTTTTGCCAGGCTGAAGTGCAGTGGCACAACCTTGGTTCACTGCAACCTTGGCTCGCTGCAATCCGCCTCCCAGATTCAAGCAGTCCTCCTGCCTCAGCCTCCCAAGTATCTGGGACATGCCAAGTAGGGGCACGTGCCACTATGCCCAGCTAATTTTTGTATTTTTACTACAAATGGGGTTTCACCATGTTGGCCAGGATGGTCTTGATCTTTTGACCTCATGATCTGCCCACCTTGGCCTCACAAAGTGCTGGGATTACAGGCGTTAGCCACTGCACCCGGCCTTGTTTCTTAATCTTAAAAAAATCTTTAAAGGGCACCCATTTTTCTTTTCCTTTATTTATTTATTTTTTTCTGAGATGGAGTCTCACTCTGTTGCCTATGCTGGAGCGCAGTGGCACAATCTTGGCTCACTGCAACCTCTGCCTCCCCAGTTCAAGCGATTCTCCTGCCTCAGCCTCCTGGATATCTAGGACTACAGGTGCACACAACCATATCCAGCTAATTTTTTGTATTTTTAGTAGAGATGGGGTTTGACCATGTTGGCCAGGCTTGTCAACTTGAACTCCTAACCTCAAGTAATCCTCCTGCCTTGGCCTCCCAAAGTGCTGGTATTACAGGCGTGAGCCACTGTGCCCAGCCAAGGGCACCCATTTTTCTTTAATTAATATAAAAAAAACTGCATTGACCTGGTTAAATTCCCAGGACCCTCATATCTAAAGAGGTGGACGCAATGACACTATTGTTTACAAAAATGTCTTAAACTTGTTGGAGGTTATGTTGAGAATCAAATTTTATATATTTTTATTTTTATCTTTTAATTCCATTTTTCTACAGACTTTTTGAATATACAGATTGAGTACCCCTCATCTGAAATGCTTGGGACCAGATATGTTTCAGATTTTTTTTTTAATACTTGCATATATAATGAGATTTCTTGGGAATGAACCCAAGTCTAAACACATCATTCATTTATGTTTCATATCACCTTATGCTCATAGCCTGAAAGTAATTTTATATGTTTCATGTCAGTACCTAAAAAGTTTGGATTTTGGAGCAGTTTAGATTTTAGATTTTCAGATTGGGATTGACTTGTATTAAATTAATACAGGCATAAGGCCGGGCTCAGTGGCTCACACCTGTAATCCCAGCACTTTGGGAGACTGAGGTGGGCAGATCACGAAGTCAAGAGATTGAGACCATCCTGGCCAACATAGTAAAACCCTGTCTCGGCCGGGTGCGGTGGCTTAAGCCTGTAATCCCAGCACTTTGGGAGGCCGAGGCGGGTGGATCACAAGGTCAAGAGATCGAGACCATCCTGGTCAACATGGTGAAACCCTGTCTCTACTAAAAATACAAAAAATTAGCTGGGCATGGTGGCACGTGCCTATAATCCCAGCTACTCAGGAGGCTGAGGCAGGAGAATTGCCTGAACGCAGGAGGCGGAGGTTGCGGTGAGCCGAGATCGGGCCATTGCACTCCAGCCTGGGTAACAAGAGTGAAACTCTGTCTCAAAAAAAAAAAAAAAAAAAAAACCTGTCTCTACTAAAAATATAAAAATTAACTGGGCATGGTGGTGCACGCCTGTAGTCCCAGCTACTGGGGAGGCTGAGGCAGGATAATCGCTTGCACCTGGGAGTTGGAGGTTACAGTGAGCCGAGATTGTGCCACCACACTCCAGCCAGGGCAACAGAGACAGATTCTGTTTCAAAAAGAAAAAAAGTCAAGATGGTGCCCATTCCATGGCAGCAGCCTCAGTTTCAGGCCACACAGTCTTGTCCACAGTGAGTGTTGCCTTCTCCTCGGTCTTGCCTCATGACAAGAAGCTGGCTTTTCCAAGAGAAAGTAACAGGTTTCTCAGAGCACATAAGGAAGCTGCGAAGTTTTTTATGACCTAGCCCCAGAAACCACACTGCAGCGTTTCCCCCACATCCTATTGGTGCACAGGTCAACCCTGTGTAATTACGTGAGTACCAGGTTCATTCAGGGACCACCTTGGAGGCTGCCTGCCACAGGCACCGTGTCTCCTTGCTCTCTTCCACTCTGCGACAATTTCTCAGGTTTCTTTCTTTATTTCTGAGACAGGGTCTCATTTTGTCACCCTGCCTGGAGTGCAGTGGCCTGATTACAGCTCACTGCAGCCTCAACCTCCCTGATCTCAGATGATCCTCCTACCTCAGCCTCCCAAGTAACTGGGACTACAGGCACATGCTACCACACTTGGCTAATTTTTGTATTTTTTGTAGAGATGGGGTTTCACCGTGTTGCCCAGCTGGTCTCAAACTCCAGGGTTCAAGCAATCTGCCCAGCTCACCCTCCCAAAATGCTGGGATTAGACGTGTGAGCCCCTGCACCCGGCCTCTGGTTTCTTCTTTCATGAATTTGACACTTTTGAAGAGTACTGGCCAATTATTTTGTGGAACATCCTCAATTATTTTGTGTTTATCGGATGTTTGTAATGTTTAGTCCGAAGTTGCTGATTTTCAGCGAGAATACTAGAGCAGCAAATTGTGCCCTTCTCAGGGCGTCAGAGTTCACGGCACATGATGTCAATATGCCTTATAATCCTGGTAATACTAACTTTGATCACGTGGTGTCTGCCAGGCTTCTTCACTGTCAATTTACTCTTCTCCCCTTTGTCTTAGTCTGTTTCTCCTACTATAACAAAATACCCAAGACTGGGTCATTTATAAACAATAGAAACTGATTTGTTACAGTTCTGGAGGCTGGAAGTCCACTGAGGGATCTGTGGGGATCACTCCTGTGTGAGGACCCTAGGAAATGGGCCTTGCCATACGGTGAGCTTGAGCCTGGACACAGATCCCAGGTTGGGGGAGTTGAGCTGAGGGAAAGCAGGAACCGAGAGAGGGACTATGCTATTCAAAATAATTAACAGACATTACTTTATGGATATGAGGACTTGGGAGGCATTGTGTCCACTTTCGGCTCCTTATGGTTTATTGCTTGATTGTGTTCATTTTGGACTCTTGTTACCTTCATTGTAAAATATTAACTTAAGTATTTACACTTGGTAACTTACTTACGTAACTTACTGGGTATAACTGTAACTTACCATAACTTACTGGGTGTAACTGTAACTTACTTACCATAACTTACGGGGCATAACTGGTAACTTGCTTACAATTGTTAAGTACTTACTGGGTGTAACTTACTTACTGAGCGTAACTTAGTGGGCGTAACTTGCTTACTGTAACTTAAGTATGTTGATCTGGCGTAAACAACATTAACTTCAGAAAGGTATATAATGGAACATATTGCAAAAATAAAATTGCTGCTTGGACATAGCCTAAGCCAGCCCTCCAGACTCCGTTTTTCTTTTTTCTTTCACTTCCGCACACTCTCTCCCTCAGGTTGAAGGAGACATCTATGTTGGTGGTCTCGGGGACTCCCGCAGGTCGGTAGCCCCCCGGCAGATGTGCCAGACCCCAACAGTCCACCATTAAGGTGCTGGCATGTTTAGTTTCTGGCTGCTCTCTGCTTCCAAGATGGTGCCTTGTTACTGTGTCCTCCAAAGGAGACAAACCCTGTGTCCTCACATGGCAGAAGAACAGAAGGGCAAAAAAGAGCAGAACAGTGGATGATGCCTCTTTTTATTATTATTATTTATTATTATTTTTGCACACAAGCTGGGGTCCCAAAAGCCTCTTTTATAAGAGGTTTATCCCATTAGCTGTGCTTGGTGGCACATGCCTGTGGTCCCAGCTACTCGGGAGGCTGAGATGGGAGAATCTCTTGAGCCTAGGAGGTGGAGCTTGCAGTGAGCCGAGATCACTCCACAGCATTCCAGCCTGAGCGAGACGGCAAGACCCTGTCTCAAAAAAAAAAATAAATAAAAGAAAGAAAGAAAAGCCCCATATCTTGATACTAACACATTGGCAATTAGTTTCAACATGAATTTTGGAGGGGACACAAACATAAACATTCAAACCACAGCACCCTTTGTGATCAGTAAACACGTTGTGAGGTGCACTTTGAGTGTATGCAAATATCTTCTCTCGAGTCACACTTTCACCCACTAATTTTAGCATCCACCAATGAATGATTTATGCCTGCAACAATTATTACTGTGGTGTTTGTCTAATGGTGATTTTCTTTCTTTCTTTTTTTTTTGAGACGGAGTTTTGCTTTTGTTACCCAGGCTGGAGTGCAATGGCGCGATCTCAGCTCACTGCAACCTCCGCCTCGTGGGTTCAGGCAATTCTCCTGCCTCAGCCTCCTGAGTAGCTGGGATTACAGGCACGAGCCACCATGCCCAGCTAATTTTTTGTATTTTTAGTAGAGACGGGGTTTCACCATGTTGACCAGGATGGTCTCGATCTCTTGACCTCGTGATCCACCCGCCTCGGCCTCCCGAAGTGCTGGGATTACAGGCCTGAGCCACCTCGCCCGGCCTAATGGTGATTTTCTATTTCCATTGCTTCTCCTACATGTATTTATTGGAATTCTACTGTACAGAGGAGTTGTTTCTTCGCTCCCAGTTATTTACGCAGGTCAGTATAAACTCATGATAGTTATTTTATTCTATGGGTAATAATTTATTGCTATCATTATTTATTTTGTTGCTCAAATTATCTGATTTGGTCCTTGGGAGCTCCTTCAAGTAGACTTTTGTGTCCTTTTGAAGTGTCCCCAGGACTTTTTGAGTACTTCTTTACTTTCTGTCACTACGTGATGTTCCAGACTCATCACGTATTATCTCTGCCCCATCCCTGAAATGAACCATTTTTCCAGAGTCTAGTCCTTTTATTACCGAATGGATTTTTTTTTTTAACTGAGTCTCGCTCTGTTGCCCAGGCTGGAGTGCAGTGGTGCAATCTCTCAATCTCAGCTCACTGCAACCTCTGCCTCCCAGGTTCAAGCAATTCTTGTACCTCAGCCTCCCCAGTAGCTAGGATTACAGGTGCACGCCACCACACCTGGCTAACTTTTGTATTTTTAGTAGGGACGGGATTTTGCCATGTTGGCCAGGCTGGTCTTGAACTCCTGACCTCAGGTGATCTGCCCGCCTCAGCCTCCCAAAGTGCTAGGATTACAGGCATGAGGGCTAAACCTCAGTATTTTAAGACCCTGGTATCAGAAGTGACATATTGGCTGGGTGGCTCAAGCCTGTAATCCCGGCACTTAGGGAGGCCGAGGCGGGCAGATCACGAGGTCAAGAGATTGAGACCATCCTGGTCAACATGGTGAAACCCCGTCTCTACTAAAAAAATTAGCTGGGCATGGTGGCGCGTGCCTGTAATCCTAGCTACTCAGGAGGCTGAGGTGGGAGAATTGCTTGAACCCAGGAGGCGGAGGTTGCGATGAGCCGAGATTGCGCCATTGCACTCCAGCCTGGGTAACAAGAATGAAACTCTGTCTCAAAAAAAAAAAAGTGACATATTATCACTTCTGCCATGTTCTGTTGGTCCAACCCTGGTTCAGTGTGGGAGCAGACGCCACAAGGGCATGAATAGCAGGAAGAAGGGACTAATGGAGGTCACCTTGGAAGACGACTCTCAAATCTTTCCTCCTAGTTCTTTTGTTTGTTGCTTTTTTTTTTCTTTTTCTTTTTTTTTTTTTTAAATTAAGATGGGGTTTCACCATGTTGGTCAGGCTGGTCTTGAACTCCCAACCTCAGGTGATTCGCCCACCTTGGCCTCCAAAGTGCTTGTATTACAGGCGTGAGCCACCACGCCCAGCCCACCCTTTTTTAAATATATTTTTTAAAGATGGGGTTTCACCATGTTGGTCAGTGATGGTGACCAGTGATGGTGACCACTGACCAGTGATGGTCAGTGATCCACTTATCATCAAAGTTTGTGCTTAAGTTCCAAGTTTTGCTCCCTCTCTCTCTCTTTTTTTTTTTGAGACAGAGTTTCGCTCTTGTTGCCCAGAGTGCAATAGCACAATCTTGGCTCACCACAACCAAGGTCTGGTCTTGAACTCCCGACCTCAGGTGATCCGCCCGCCTTGGCCTCCAAAGGGCTTGGATTACAGGCATGAGCCACCACACCGGGCCGTTGTTTGTCGCTTTGTGGTTATTGCTGTTCCCAGTATTTTCCTGCTATTGTTGCAGGTTTGTTTTTCAATGTGAACATTACCATAGTTGGTTGCAAAAGTAATTACAGTTTCAGATGTGAATTTTAAATTATTACAATTAGGCTCAAACACATCTTTATTCATCAAAATAGGAATCATTATAATCAACATATTTTTGCCAACAAGAAATAAGCTTTTTTATTCCTGTAGCATGAAAATCCATGCTTCAGGATTCGTGGAATGCTTGGAAAGCATCTTCTGCATCCTGCTGGTTGTGAAAGCGATTTCCCTGTCGCCCCGGCTGGAGTGCTGCAGCATGATCTCAGCACACGGCAACCTCTGCCTCCTGGGTTCAAGTGATTCTCCTGCCTCAGCCTCCAGTGTAGCTGGAAATACAGGCATGCACCACCATGCCTGGCTAATTTTTGTATTTTTAGTAGAGAGGGGTTTCACCATATTGGCCAGGCTGATCTCCTAACCTCAAGCGATCCACCTTCCTTGGCCTCTCAAAGTGCTGTGATTACAGGCATGAGCCACCGTGCCCGGCTAAAATGTACATTTTAGATAATACATTGTAGAAATTCTGGATGCCAGTCCTCTCTTAGGAGTCAATGTTGTTACTGTTTGGTTGGCCGTTTCTTTTTTGGTTTAGTGACTTGGCTGAATTAACTTTGTGAAGTGTATTTTTCTTGCAGTGTGTAGCCTAGAATGTCTGTTCTCTGATTTTTATTTTTCTTTTAAAAAAATCTAGCAGCTGGGCCTGGTAGTTCATGCTTGTAATCCTAGCACTTTGGGGGTTGAGGCAGGATAGCTTGAGCCCACGACTTCAAGCTAGCAGCGAGCTATAATCATATCATTGCACTCCAGCCTGGGTGACATAGCAAGACCTTGTCTCAAAAAAAAAAAAAAAAAAAAAAAAACCTCTTAGCTTGGCTCCCTAGGGGTCACCCTGGTCAGCATAAACCACATATCCACTTATCATCAAAGTTTGTGCTTAAGTTCCAAGTTTTGCTCCCTCTCTCTCTCTCTCTCTTTTTTTTTTGAGACAGAGTTTCGCTCTTGTTGCCCAGAGTGCAATAGCACAATCTTGGCTCACCACAACCTCCACCTCTCGGGTTCAAGCGATTCTCCTGCCTCAGCCTCCCAAGTAGCTGGGATTACAGTCATGTGCCACCATGCCCAGCTAATGTTTGTATTTTTAGTAGAGACGGGGTTTCTTCATGTTGGTCAGGCTGGTCTTGAACTCCTGACCTCAGGTGATCTGTCCGCCTTGACCTCCCAAAGTGCTGGGATTATGGTCATGAGCCCCAAGTTTTTCTCTTTACTGGTAGATACATGTGTGGCTGCAGACTGGCTACTGCACTTCAACAAGTTTATGGTTTTGCCCATGTTCAGTCAGGGAATATGCTTCCCCAATTGCTGTTATGTGCCTTTAGGATAATTTACAGATTTGAAATAATAAAGTTTTCTAGTTAAATGGTTGTTTTGTTGGGGAATGGGTCTGCTGAGCTCCTTACCCCCCCATTCTGGAAACTGTTTTTTTTTTTTTTTTTTTTTTACTTAAGTGTCATGTGATACTATGGAAATAGGTATTATTATTATTTTTTTTTTTTTGAGATGAAGTCTCACTCTGTCTCCAGGCTGGAGTGCAATGGTGTGATCTTGGCTCACTGCAACCTCTGCCTCCCAGGTTCAAATGATTCTCCTGCCTCAGTCTCATGAGTAGCTGGGACTACAGGCGCGTACCACCATGCCTGGCTAATTTTTTGTATTTTAGTAGAAATAGGGTTTCACCATGCTGGCCAGGATGGTCTCAATCTCCTGACCTTGTGATCTGCGCAACTTGGCGTCCCAAAGTGCTAGGATTACAGGTGTGAGCCACCGTGCTCGGCCTAAAAATTTTTTTAATGTCTTGTTCCTATGGCTCCCTCCTCTTTGTCATATATTTGTTATATTTGTCTTTCTCCTTTTTTTTTTTTCTGAAACAAGTTAACTAGTGGTTTGTCTTTTTTTTTTTTTTTTTTTAGACAGAGTCTTGCTCTGTTGCCCAGGCTGGAGTGCAGTGGTCCACATGGCTCACTACAACCTCTGCCTTTCAGGCTCAAGCAATCCATAACGCCCAGCTAGGGTTTTTGGGGTGTGTGTGTTTTGCTTTAGAGAGACAGGGTCTCTCTATGTTGCCTAGGTTGGTCTTGAACTTCTGGGCTCAAGCAATCCTCCCACCTTGGCATCTCAAAGTGCTGGGATTGCAGGTATGAGCCACCATGCCAGGCTGTGTTTCTCTTCGTTAATAATGTCTCATTTCATTACACTGTGCTCAGAGAATATTGTTTGTATATTTCTACTTTTTTGAATGTGCTGATGATTTCTTTGTGACCTAAGATATGATTATTTTGGGGGGAATATTTTGTTTCTTTGGAAACATGGGTTTTTTTTTTTTCCAGGGGAATTTTCCTTAGTTGATGTGTGTTGAATTTTGTTTCCAGATTTAAAAAAAAATCAGCTCTGTACAGATCTGTTCATCTTCTTTCTGTTTGTTTTTGTGGTATTGGGTGGTTTACAAGATTCCTAGCTCAATAGCACACTGTTACATCAATATAGCAAAGTTCAGATGCTTTAGAGGATCTTTGTTTGTTTCGGTGTGGGGTGGGTAGGGTTTTGTGTTCTCCCATTGCTTGGATCTCTTTTGTCTTGTAGGACCCTCAATTTCTCTCTTCTGCATTTTCCCACTTCACTTCCTCAATTACCCAAGGAGCTTCTAGCCCGTTTTAGCCTTTTTTTACCCCTCCC